AAAACAATAACAACAAAAAGAACAAATTAAGAAAGTGTTAGCTTGTATTACTAGAACATTTAAAAAAATACAGCAAATAGCGATGGTCAGTTATTTAGTAATTTTGAAGGTACCAATTGAAAAATTCCGCCCATATTATCCAATTTGCCTTTATCTTTTATTCGACTATAACTGTAACTATAATGGAATTTACAAAAATATTAATATAAGTCGTCAACCTATATTATTTAACAATAAAAAAGCTTATTCAACTTACCATAATTTTGTAATGGTGAAAAACTTTTTATTACCATTCTTCTATAGCTATAATAATTGTAATTTTTCAGAAAAAAATTTAAAAGTTCAAAATATAAGTGTATAAAAATATGAAAAAAATATCTATAAAATATGAATAGTTATAAAAATTGTGCTGATTTCTAATGTGTTCATCATATTTATTATAAAAAACATACATACATATATACATACACACAGAAAAATATATTTCTTTATGTTCTATAAAAAAGTGAACTTTAAAGTTCACTTAAAGGCTGAAAGGCGTAATATATATACATGGCATGTATATACATTTCTTATTTTGTATATGTACTAAAAAGTCTCTATATTATAAAAAAAAAAAGTTTATGTATATGTGTATTTATATGTATATGTATGTATATGTGTATTTATATGTGTATATATATATGTGTTTATATGCTTAAGAATATATATACACTTGTGTATGTATGTGTTTATATTTATGTATATGTATGTATGTATGCATGAATGTGTGTTTGTATGTAAACATGTGGGTATTTATGTATGAGTATGTATGAATGTATATATCTGGATATGTGTACGCCTATATGTGTGTGCGTTTGCATGTGTATGTGCATATTCATAAACCTTTATACCAGAAGAATAGCATTGTACAGATGTATCTCAGAAGAGTTAACATTATTACAGACAAAGAAAGAACATGAAATTACATTACAAGTATTTGATCAATATCAATACAATAAAGATCAAGATCAATACTCATCAATAGAATAAAGATCAATACTATAAAACGAAAAAAGTAACATCCTAATTATTTATACTTTATTGTTGACCTTGTACATATAATATATAGAAAAAAACAAACAAACATGCAACTTATGGAGAAAATGAAGTAGAAAAACTCAATTGAAATATCAAATAATAATCATTGAATGAAGATTACTTGACCATATATTTTGATTTTGATTTTGAAGTGAAATTAATCTAAAAATAACAGACAAAAGTTGCATGAGACAGTTGTTTGAAAGGCTATGTAATTTCGTTGCAAGCGCCTTTAGGCAAGTAACTTAAAACTATAACAAAAAAAATGTCTAAGTTTCAACAGCGATTCTCTGTAACAAGACCTAAAGGTCTTCTTAGAGTGTCTGCGTTCTTTATATTTATTCTTAACTTTTTCAAGTGTAATTTTTTTCTTTTATATTGGTATCTTAAACGTTTGTTTTTTAAATCATGTAGAGAAGAACAAAAATCGGAATTCTAGTATTTTTTGTTAAAAATATTGTACTTTAAAATATTGATAGAAATATTGTATTTTGACAAATATATATAGTTAACATACGTCAGAACCGCTTAGAATTAGAACCAATAGTAAGTTAAGGAACTTTTTCAACAAATTTTAACTAAACTCATGTTAACACCGATGAGCGGAATAGATCTAAAGACTCCAAAATGGTGTTTTATAGATTCACTATTAAAAAAAAAAAAAAGTTTCTGTAAATGTTAAAAAAACCTGAAGCAAAAGAAAATTATACCATCTAAACCTCTTGTTTGGATCTATGAAATACATAGATTTTTTTGGATCTATGTAATACATAGATTTTTGTTTGGATCTATGTAATACATGTTTGGATCTATGTAATACTTGTTTGGATTTATGTAATACATAGATTTTTTTTTTATATAAAAAATCTTTTATACATAGTATTTATAAAAGATTTTTTATATATAAAAAAAAATAAGCTCATTAAAATAATTAATTGAATTTAAATTAATTTCAATTGTAACGACAATAAAAACGGGTTGCGTAATTAAAAAAAAGCAACGATTCTAAATGACTGATCTAAATAAAAACCGATCAAAAGACGTTTTTAAAAAGATGGCGGTTAGTATAATTTTTTAAACTTTAACATCAAAGTTTGATCCCCACCACGTCCCTGGTAGTACCGCGCTCAACTTGTTTCTCCGCACTGAGGCCTTGTTCATCGAGGTTCGTGTTTCGGAGTTATAGAGTTGAGAGAAGGTTATATAAAAAAAAAAAAAGATGAAATAGTAGCCTCCTCCGCTGTAGTAGTCTTTTCGGCCTTGGAGTTGTGAATAATTAAAAAAAAAAAAAAAAAATTAGAGTACTTTCCTTCAACTTTCAAGTCTATGTTTTAATACAATTCTTAATCAGCATAAATTTTCCATCATAATTATAAAATGATTGTAGTAGGCAACTGAAGCAGTGCCAAACCGCGATTGCTGTCTACCATGCAGTTATATTATAAACCTTCTAGCATACTGCAGAGGGTATTAAAGAATCGAATATTGTAATATGTTAAAAAAAAACATGTTCATAACTTATACTATTAGTAAACCTACTAGTAATAGGGAAACTTCGTTAAACAATGTAAATTTGTTTGTAAAGAGTAAAATAAAGAAGTACTGTTCAAATTCAAAAAAATGTAAGTTTGTTTGTAAAGAGTTCAAATACCATAAAGTGCTATTTTTATACATATATATTCCAAATGTTTTCAAAATGTTACATTTTTATACTGCAGTATACCAATGTAACATTTTGAAAACATTTGAAATATATATGTATTAAAATTGTACTTTATGGCGTTTAATGTTGTATTTTTGTTATATTTTGCAACAATATTTGTAACATTTAATGTTGAATTCAAAACATGGCAAAAATACCAACATTAAAAATACCTTAACAAGCTATTTTTAAACTTATATATTTTAAAACAACATTAAAAATACCTTAGCAAGCTATTTTTAAACTTATATATTAACTTATCAAAGTGTTTATTTTGAAACGATTTCATCGTTTTCAAAATAAACACTTTGATTTTTAAGTAAACAAAAATTTCTACTATATTTTATTAAAACTTTATTGTTTAAAATAAGTTAAAATTTTTTTACAAAAGAATTATTCTTTACGAATCTATCAAAACGTCTTAACGTTAACATTATTGTTTATAAATATGGCTGCACTAGACATCCCTGAAACCCCGTTCGCTAAATTGCAAGAAAATGGTGCTACTATGTTGAAAAAGGAAATTTTTAAAATGTAGTTTATAAACTTTGAAAGCTGTAATCGAAAAGGATTACTCTCTCAAAAGTTTAATTTGAAAAATTAAAGAAAAAAAAAATCATATTATGTTTTTAAAAAATTTTGAATTATGGTAACTTTGAAGTTTTACACGACTATGAGCGGGCTTTAAGTTATTAGCGTGAGTTATGCACATTATGTAGAATCGATTTCTTTAAAATTTTAACTTTTGTGATATTAAAAATATACTCTTATTAATGATATATAATAATGCAATGTTTAGACAATCTGAGATTCTTACACACAACATATACAATTGATATATGTAAATATATCAATTGTATATGTTGTGTGTAAGTGATATTCATCACTTTATATTAGATACGCGAAAATCGCGATTTACGGAGCCGATTTTTGTGCTAAAATTTTGTGACTCGTTTTTTTAACTTTATTTTAGGTAGCGTTTATAAATTATATACGCGTACACGTATACAATTTATATACCTGTAGTTTTATTGCCTGTAAAAGAATAAATTTTTAGTAACAGTTTCAGCATTTAATATAATAATTAGATAAAACTTGCCTTTTGTAGTTATAAAAAAGATTTGTGCTTGAAATTTTGAGACTCAAGTCTAAAATACTTTAGCTAAAAATTTACTAACTTTACTTTAAAAAATTTTTATTTTAGAAATATATGAAATGCGTCATTAGGCGCGCTTAGTATTTTTTTTTTCATAATTAGGGTTGCGCACAGTAAAAATTCAAAGTCATATTATGGTGTATTTCAAGTCATATTAGGGTGTGTTTGCAGACATCAAGCTGATGACGCTTGCTGATAAAACATTTAAAATTTACTTTGTATTTGGTTTGACATAGGCTTGATAAAGTAAAATAATCCCGATATAAAAGATGTCGGCTAGAAATCAGGTCGACGTTCATGTGTTATCAAGGGTTTTTTTTTTAAACGAAAAATTTTTCAAAATTTCAAGCACTTGTTATCAAACACTGGCACCATCAACATTGATGTAATTCGGTTCTCAGGGGGTATTTAAAGTTAGAAACATTAAGTCTTATGACAAAATAATGTCAATGGTGATGTAAACAGAGACGATAGCCAGTGTGACGAATCTTTGATTTACCTATAATTCAAAGAACTTGCTCAAGTATTAAGTCATGATTTAAAGGATTTGTTTAAACTGTGTATCAAAAAAATGTCGAGCAAAAATCTCTGAACTTTAAAAAAAAAAAATTGTCACATTGAAACATTTATTTTCTTAAAAAGCTCTTCTGTAAAAATTTATCAGTGAAAAATACATATATGTAAAAAATTAAACAATACAAAATAATTTTTTTTTTTTATTCAAAAATTTAAAAAACGCCAAATAATGTAATTTTAAAATATCATTAAAAATTTGTACACAACACAGCACATAAGTATATATTAAAATAAAATATTTTTTTTTATAAAAAAGTAACAAAAAAGTTTCTATTTAACAAAGAATTTTTTATAACAAAATTTATAATATAAATATAAAATTAGATATGTAAAAAATATAATATATATATTTTTGTAATATATTATATATTGTAATATAGATAATATAATATAATGTAATATGATGCAATAAAATATAAAAGTATAAATATAAAATATAATATATTATAATATAATAAAAAAACGTAAATAAAATTTCTTTTTCCATTTGAATTTATTTAAAATTTGAGTAAGTAGAAAAAGTCTCCAAATAATGTTTCACCAATTTATAAACAAATTCATATTGAAGCTAAAAAAGAATTTAATATCTGAGAAATTCTAGTCACTGAAATATCAAATAAAGGTAATTATTTTAGCTCATATAAAAAAATATATATATAAAAATAGAAGAGAATTCTCTAAAACATTTTTTAAAGTAATTAACAATCTTACCAGAGTTTGAACAAACAGAGGTTGGGCTAATTGAGCTCTTCGAACAACTTGAAATACATCAACGAGTTCTTCTATTTGAGACTGTTCTACTGCATTGATGCATGAAATAAAAGTACCGGAGCGACTGACACCGTTGCTATAGAAATTCAAAAAACTATCTAGTTGTTAAACTATTTATTTTTAAGTACTTAAAAAACTAAAAATTATTCAAATACTTGAAAAAATATAATGCAAATGTTAAAAATATAACAAAAATATATGGTAAACAACACACAAAAATATTACTTGCAAACAACAGCAATGATATCATTTCCAAGACATTGTTGTGATTTTGTCACTTCACTAATCAACTGTAAAATTAGATTAAAACTTGGTAAACAGTTCTCCGACCATAAGCTAAACTCTAACATGCACATGATAGTTTCGGTCTAAAATATTAGTTCATGTACAAAAAAAGTGAAAAAATGTATAACATTGAAATTAAGCAGAGCTGTTTTTAAGTCACTTTAGAGCAAGTCTCAAGTCAAGTATTAAGTTACTCAGTAACACGTCAAGTCTCAATTCATGTCATATTACGACTATAGGATCTAGTTCCGGTGGTGGCTACATTCAAGCAGTCAAATTGCAATTATAAAAAACAGCATGGGCATGATATTAATTATAAGTTTATACTATTTAATATATATTATTATAATAAAGTAATAAAAGTTGTAAAAGTAAAATAAGCCATCTGTAGTATAGTACATAAGATATCATAATACACAATACAGTGACAGAAAACATCCGAGGTCAACAAGATTGGCATTGTAACTGTGAAAAAAAAATTTAAAAATTTAATTAATAGTTTTTTTGGGAAATTGTTTTTACATTAGATGTGATCAGTTTAAATAAATTAAGAAGAAATTATATGAAAAAATAGAAAGTTTATAGGTACGCGTGCATCTGACTTACACGGCACCAATTTCAAATTAAGTAAAAATCTATAACCTGTTTTTGCTGCCAAGTCTAAAATTACTCAATTAAATATTTATTGTAGAAATGAACAGATAATAATTATATCTATAACCAGCAGTAAATCATTCAAAGTATTTCCTGAACTAGTCAATAAACTTTTTAAGTTCAAAACTTTTGAAAATCAGATTGTGTATCTAGTAAATAGAATTTTATACTCAGAATTTTTCAAGGAGTTCTAAAAGTTTTATTGATATCTGCAACAAGTTATTTGCATGCCAAATAACAACATCTGATATGGCACTACTGCAAGTTGTACAGTAGTCAATCACAAGTTCAAGTAACATTGTTTTATGTTATTCATTATCATCTTCTAAACACATCAGTGTTTTTTCTGCACTTATTAATGAACATTTATCTTTATCTTTATCTGGTCATGCTTTAATGACATCTTCCCATAAACCACTACTACCGAGGTTAAGAACTTAGCAGTCGAGCTAAATAGAAATAAAGTTAAAAAGTGGGTAACCGTTTTGGCAAATGAAATTGATACTAAGAAACAAAGCATAAGAGGGATTTAAGAGATATAAAATAAGGCAAAGCAAAGCCATACAGATTTATATATCTTAATCAGGTATATGCTTGCAAAGAGAAGAAAACCTAACAACTTCAGAAAAAATTGAATACAAATTTCAATTTACAGTTGAAGAAACATTAAAATCAATTTTTTTTGTTTGAAACAACAGTTAACGTTCGCCAGCTTTTCTCATAAAAAAAAAACATGTTATGCCAGATAAAAACTCGCTGATAAAAATGCACATATTTGTATACTGCAAAATGAAATGCTGATTATTCAGAGGAGATGGAGTAGATTAACACAAAACAAAAAACGTAAAAAAATCTACTCCGAAAATATTAGGGAACTTATATATGTTATGTTTGTATCTCAAGTTCCTACACAGTGTGCACCGCATCAGCTCATAAAAAAATCAGAAAACACACAATACCGATTTAGCCATATTACACAATGCACAACTCTGGAGCAAATGATGTGTGAGCTAGGTGTTATTTTATTTTCAATAAAAATTTAGACAATTGGTTTTGATGCAACAACCCAGGAGGGTGTATATGTAAATGTTGTACATTTGACAACTAAGCCAGTATGCATGATTGTAGCTATTGATCAACTTCTTGGAGGTACAGGTAACAATTATCACATTACAAAGTGTGTTAATAACTTTGCCAAGTTGGTTTGTGACTTCTACCAGCTGCAATAATGTACAAACCACTATTATTGGCAGGATAACTAATAGGAGTATGACAGAGTGGCGACAAACATCATTAGATACCAAACTACATTAAAACATTATTTTTTAAAATTAGTCATTATCATTGCCTCAAAAAACATATTTGTGGTTTCAAGGTTTTAAACTGTTATTTACTAAATGCATTTTACTTTAAAACCAAAAAATTTAAAAAATGGGAACAACAGTAATTCATGGGTGCCATATATTAACAAAAACATTTCTCTCCAAAATTAAATCAAGTTGGATCTCGAAAAAAACAAAATTTTAAAGAAAGTTTAAAAGAAATAAAACTTTTAAATTAATCTAATTTTTTTAAATCAATTGTTAAAATGACATTTTTAAACAAAAATTTAAAAAAGGTGTTTTTTTTAATAATACATTCTTTAAAAAGATTACATTTGAAAAAGGTTGTTATTTATAAAATCTCTATAAAATTTTATTTCTTTTGAGGTTCAACACAATATACTTTTATGGTAAAAATATTTTTGGTAAAATCAGGTGCTCACAATGTTGTCGGGTATCTTTGTGTATCTAAGAGACAGAATCCTTAATGAGACAGCATTATTACTAAAGGTATGGAAGTTTATAAAAAAAACTTAAAATTCATTAAAATTCATTTTAGTAAATTTACAAAGTTTGAATTCACAAGCATTCACTATCTTATAAATGAACAGATATTAAGTATTTTGCATGAACATTGTTAATGAAACGATATGAAGAATTCAGACAGAATATTATTAATGAAATGCTAGCCTTAAAAATATTAATTGATCCATATTTTTAACCTTACTAGAAAGCGAAACTATGTATAACTATTTAGATAATTATTACATATATAAAACAATTATCACACATCAAGTTGCAAAAATGAATTTGTTTTTTAATTTATTTATACTTTAAAAACAAGTAAACCAACACTTTATCAATTCAAGTCAATCATTTTTTATGGATCAAAGCAAACTAACAATTATGATAAAACTTTTAATAAATCAAATTTTAATAAATTACAAAAAAAAAAATTCACCAGTTTATTAAAGCAAGCAGTTTTTTTTTAGTTTTTTTTTTAGTTTTTTAAGCTACCTTCAAATAGCAATCTATAAGTATAAAATTATACCTCAGTAGAAACACTCAAACTTCTTTTTATTATGGATTCCAACTTCTCTTCAGCAGTCAATTTTACAGTGATACCATTAAGTTTTAAAGCACAATCTGATGGATAAAATTTATAATAAGATTTTTCTTTTTGTTCGCAATGAGAGGTAAGGTATACTATAGTTGATACATTAAGTTTCTTTAAAACATCCCAAAAATCTGTGACAGTGGTTTCAAGTGGACATTGAGTTGCAATAAATGCTTTCTTTCTTTTATAACCATCAACAAACACAGCATTAAGGTATGGTTCACTAGAAACCAATGCATCCTCTCCTATAAAACAAATATCAAACTAGTTCTAATTATAAAAACAGGTAGCTTTTAACAGGTGTTTACAAACCAGTCAATGTAGAGACACCTAAAGACATAAAAAACACCAACAAAAACAAAAAAAAAACAAATAAAAAGTAAAAAAAAAGTAGAAGACTATTTAAGCAACAAGAAAAAATAAAAAACAGAAAAAAAAATAAAAAAAAAATAAAATAAAATAAAATATATTATTTTAAACATATAATTAAATAATAACTTTAGAAATACTAAATTAACTTTTAATTAATAATTAATTAAAAATTAGTTTATTATTAAAAAAAATGAAAAAACTTTTTTTTATAATAAACTAACATTTAAAGCTTTTATGGCACCTAAATCTGGACAAAACCATGATCATTCCATGAACTTGCTTTCAGTGACCTTTTTGATGCTGCTATCCATTTTTACTTCAATTCTTTATCATCTTTAGTCACTTTGTTGCTCTTCAAAAAGATTCTTTTTACAAATGCCCAGTAAATCCCAAATATGCACTGCTGAAGGGCAGTTTAAAGGATTCAAATTTTTTGAGACAATATCAATGCCATTTTAGTTGTCTCACTCCATTGTCTTCTTGGAGTAGTGGAATGTTACCAAATCCAGCTAAAAGATAACTGCATTAGTGTGTTTGTTAATAAATCGCAAAGACAATTCATGATGTAAAAATTGAAAGTCAAAGTCATTTAAGTGATAAATGGACTTTTAAGGCCAAACCGCTTGCTAAAAGCAAGCAGTTTGCCACAAAAGCAAACTGCTTGCCACAAATAGATCTTTAGAGCAAATACTTCTGTCTGAATAACTGTCTGAGTATACTTAAATTTGTTGCTCAAATAAACATCTTTTTACTGATAATAATATTGATGGCAAAATTGTAACAACAAACTGTAAGACAACTGTGAGAAATCCTTTTTGTAGTATGCTAAGTCGTCCTCATTAATGGATAAATTTTCTCAATTGAAAAGTTTGACAACCTTCATTGTGCAGATAATTTTCCATAAATTGATTGCTTTTAATTTTTTGTTTTGGTGTAAGCTTTCAAACCCTTGCTCTTGAATACCTGTTTGATATGCAAATGACTGCATTTGAACTTTATGGTGAAATCTCTTTAAGATTGGCATTAATTTCATGTAATTGACTAGATGATCAAATTCACAATTTTATAATTGCTCTCTGTACTGTAAGGCAGTTACAGTACAGAGAGCAATTATAAAGAAACACATTTAAACATTTTTTAAATTTAATTCTGTAGAGTAGTAAATAATCAACACCAGGATACTTTTCTCCACACATTTGTGTTACATTTGATGATTAATTTGTGCTTCAATTTTAATTGTATTAAACTAGGAAGAGTTAAGATTACATTTTTTTAAATCAAATGTTATTTAAAAAAAAAAAAAGATAATTAAACATGGATTGATTTGTGGCTAAAAGAAAACTTTACATAATGGTGTCGGTACTTGTGCACAGTACATTGTTACTCAAACTTTAACATTTAGGAAAATTTTATTTCACAAAGTTTAGTAAAAGCTCTGCAGCTTGATTCATTTGCAACTAGTCATCCTATTGAAGTTTATGTTGATCATCCATCACAAACTGATTACAAACTGATTACAAACTGATGATATATTTGATACAATATCGTATTGTAAAGTTTAAGAAGTTAAATGCTTTATGATTAACTTGGAGAAGATATTTTCCAAAATGGACTTTTATAAAAACATTTCAGTTTTAAAATGTTGCAATATACGTTTTTCAAATTTTGAAGTACATATTTTTATTGAGTATGAATTAAAAAAAACAAACTTTTAAATAAATGTTTAAAACCTTATAAGCCTAATAAATAACAACTTGTAACCCCTTATTTGCGTACGAACATTTAACAAATAAATAAACACTTATAACCCCCACTTTCGAGCATAAGTCTAGCTTGTGCACCAAGATATTTTAATTTACCACCAACTCTGCCATTTTCAAGTAATGTTAATATACTGCTGTATTATACAGTTTATAATATAGAAAAAAAAAAAATTTCATTGCATAAGCAAAACAAATAAAAAAAACAAAAAAATTTTTTTTTTTGGTTCCCATTATTGATAATATAAATACTTATAATATAATGTGGTAAGTTGTTATAATTTTATTTTAAATGACATAAAAAACTGGTCTTTTATTTTTTTAGAAAAAAATGCAGAATATTAGACTATATAACTTAAGTATTTAGTATTTTAGTATGGATGTACAGTTAGTAATAATTTTAACTTTTTTGTTAAAAAAAATCTTCAAGCCTGCACCTAATATTTGCAGAATTGTTTAGCACAAATGTTAGATGACTTAGGTGGCATGCAGTTATGTCTATTTACAAATTTTATTTATTTGGTTCTAGAGTTATCATTAAACGGAAACCAAAAAATTTATTTTACATAGTATGAAAGTTTGTTATACTTTTATTTAAAATGACATACAAATCTAGTATTGTATTTTTTAAACAAAAATGAAGAATATTAATTATTGATAATAAAGTAAAAACAAAAAGTAAAGTTCGAATGTCATAACTTACGTGGTAAAATCTGAGGATATCTATTTTTTTGCATATTTTCATTCAGCAAAGCTGTTTTAAAACAACAATTTTCTTGAACTGGAGAAATACTTTTAAGAGTTTTTAACTCTTCCTCAATAAGTAATTTTCCTGTGGAAGAATCTTTTTCAAGTAGTTTGTTAAGAGTAGTTGGAAAATTTGATATAGAAATACCAGTTTGACCACATGTTACTGCTTCATAAATTGCATCATAAACAAATATGTATTGCTCTTTTGATTGGATCATTTGCATTCTGTCTTGGCGAATAGCTTCAAAGTAATTGAAAATATCAACTTTTTGTTCTGTTTTGATTAACCGCAACATTTCATCGACTATAATAAAAGTACCTGTGCGACCAACTCCAGCACTGCAATGCACAACAATTAGAGATTTATCAGTAAATGGCACTAAACATCGAAATCGATGACAAAAGTTTAATAACATTGTTGGGTATTCAGGACAACCATAATCAGGCCATGATGTAAACTGCATATGAATAAAATGATGATTCATTTCCTTAAAATCTAAAGAAATATAACGAATAATATAATCAGCAAAGTTTTCTGTTTTCGTAACACAAACATTAATACCACCATATTCTTCATTACTTTCTGGCCAATATTGAGAACATTTTGTTTTACCATTTTCAACTAGATTAGTAAGCATTACAATAGCTTTAGGCTTTTCATGAAATATCATTCGCCAGAAATCAACAATAGTCTTATTATTAGGAGCCTGGGTTGCAATGTGCGTCAATTTTTTAGAATAAGAGTGTATATAATTGGCATTAATATAAGTGTTTTCATTATTAGAAAAATCAGGAACAAGTTTGACCAGTGAGTGATCATATGGTAAAATGTTTGCATATCTATTTTTTTTTGGGTATTTTGAAGCCTCAACGTGAGTATATATTTTGTTTGCAGGAACACTCTCAAACTGTGCAATAAGTTCTGTGCAATCTTTTTTTTTGACATCCAAGTAAAAATTAATAAACTCCTTCACTGTTACCGGTGGCCATTTCTGAATAGTATTTAAATTACCATAACATTCTGTCTCCTTCGGAGCAAAATCTAATAAATAAATAAAATAATTAAAGACTAATTAACCAAGCAATAAACCTTAACTATGTTACAGAAATAAACCTTAACTAAGTTACAGATATAAACCTTAACTAAATAAGCTTTACCTTATTACAAATCTTACCTTGGATTTGAAATGATTTTTGATTACTAATATTATCCATTTCTTTAGACGTCATCAAACTATCTTTATCAACTTTTTTTCTTCTCCTAAAACATTTTGGTAACATTTTAATAGTGAAATATTTTTATAATTAATAGATATAGTTAAATATAAATATATTCAACTATAAATTCAACTATAAATTGTGTTAAATATTTATAACAACTACTTTTTGTTTATACTTATACAGGTAAATTTCACAGTTTTGATTATACCAGAAAAGAAATTTTAATCGGGCCATATATGGCAGTTGCCCATTGACCCTTTATGTACCACTCTCCTTTATGGGATGACATTGGTGTGATCCATGTAAGGCTATAATGTTTATACCACTGATAACACAAACTATTTGTGCCTAAAAGTTTCGTGTGGGACAAGTGTGGGAAGCATATATCAACCATATATTTACTACTATTCTTAAAGGGATAGCATTGGTGCAATCTATGTGTGTGACTATAATGCTTCTACCACTTACTACAAAAAACACTAAAAACAAATGATTGCACTAAATACTTTATAAATTGATTGCCACATAACTATGTAGCACATAACTTGCCACACTATATAATTACAGAAAAGTTTCATATGAGCTATAAGTGTGAAAAAACTTAAAAAAAATCTAATGACTTGTTTAATAAACAAGTATATATATGATTTTGTATTGATGCATTGAATGTATCTTGATATTAATGTATAAATGTATGATATTGTATTGATGCCTTGAATGTATTTTGATAGTGATGTATGAATGTATGATAATGTATTGATAGATGTAATACTACAGTCAAGACCAAAAAAAACTGGACAAGTTTTTTTTTCAAAAAAACTTACTATTTTTGGGTTTTCAAAATATTTTAAGGAAACTTAAACCTGTATTTCTGTTTTTTTAATATTTATTATTTATTTTTGTTTCAGTTATTGTATTTTTTATATTATACCTGAATTTCATATTGAATCTAAATTTATTTTTTTCTTATTTTTATGACTTATTATGGTTTAGTAACTCGATAAGATTTTTTAATAAAATAGAAATATAAACAGTATATAGACAGGGTTAATCTAAACCTAAGCTTGTATATATACAAAATCTAATTCATAATGTTAATTTATTACTTTTTAGATATATAAAATACTGAATATATATAAAAATGGTCCTTAATAATGTCAATAAAAGAAAAATTATTGAAATGTCATCATTTGGAATAACTCATACAGATATTGCACATAAGATTGGATATGGAAAAAGTACCATTACTGATTTTCTGAAAAAGTATGTAGTTTTTTTCTTTCTTCCTGATCCGTCGTTCTGGATCTAGAAGATAGAAAAAAACTCCAAAAATAGAAAATTGCCGCATTTCTACAGATGAAAAAAAAGTTAAAACTGGTATTACAAACATTTCTGAAAAAACTATAATTTGTTGTTTACATGAGTGCAATATTTTGGACTCTCATTAGCTGTCAGGAAGCCTCTTCTATCAAAAGTCAACATTGCGCGTAGGCTCCAATGGTGCAGTGCAGTTAATGACTGGACTATTGCCCAATGGTGAAGAGTTGTTTGGTCAGATGAGTCTCCTTTCAGTTTTTGATGCACTTGAAGATTTCGTGTTTAGAGGCGTAGTAATGAAAAGTACCATCCTGGGTGTATTAAATCCACTGTTAAACATCAAGATAAACGTATGGGGATGCTTTGCAACACATGCTACAGGAAGGATTCACAAGATTAAAGGCATTATGGATCTATACCAGTACCATGGGACACTTGTTTATCATGCAAAGCAAAGCTGCATAGAACTATTTCCAGATTTCATCAAGATAATGATCCTAAGCACACAGCAAAACGTAATAAAGCATATGCTAAAAAACATGCTTACATTGGACTGGTGGCCTAGTCAACCCCCCAACTTAAATTCAATTAAAAACCTATGGTCAATACTCAAAGATAAAATTAAAAAAAGAACATGCAATAATGAAACTAGTCTTTTCAATTGTGTTCAAGAGGCATGGAATAGCTTAGACCCATTCTTATTAACAAGACATGTTAGTATGCCTCATATTTAATGATACTTGTATAAGCATGATTTTTATATATCGGTACTTTGAATAAAATCACTCATTAAATGTTTGTTTTTTTAATTTCTCGGCCTGTTTTTTTTGGCCTTGACTGTACGCCCATCTTTTTTTAGTCACAATTTTTAATTTATGCACACCAGGCAATACTATATTTTCTTTTTCAGTTCAATATAGCACATTTATAATCTGATAATATTACAAAGTTATAATTTAGTTGATAGTACTATAAATCATTTTTATGTCACTTTATTATTTAAATGACATACTTTACCTACAGACTTTTTCAGAAAAAGAAAAATAATGAAAAAAAAATAAAATAATTTATTTTATCAGTAGTTTAAATTCTTAAATATTCTGCCTCAATATACCATATTTATATATTTTATTACACTCTATAATAGCAATAGTTTTTTCTAGTTTTTAAATGTCATTATGACAAATGGTGTTACTTAATTACTAAAAAACAATTAAACATGGTGTCAATTATTAATTAATATTATTACCAATTAATTAAAAAATGTAAAATACTTAATCAAAAATGCTATCAGAAGCACTACAAAAACCGGTATGGCAACCAATGCAAAAAGATATGAATAATTTGAAGCCTTCATTTTTCCAACAAGAGGAGATGAATCAATGGTAGAAGCTATAAGAAAGCATAGTTACAAATGCTAAACTTTCTCAATTTTTTTTCAATATTTTATTTAAAATAAAATGTTTTGTTTATAATATGTTTAAGTTTCAATTTTAAAGTTTAAAGATTGTTTAGTATAAATTTAATATGTTGTAGAATAATATTTCCAACATAAAAATAATTGCAATTTTAGGCAATTTTTGTTATTTAAATCATATTTTTGTTTTTTAAAAGAAATAAAGCATAGTTTTACTTTTTAAGTCTGCATGTGTTTCTTAACTAAAGAAACACACATCACAGAGGTTTTTGACCATTTTCCACTTACAAAATTTTTTGCATTTATTTCATAATGATAATTATGAAATGAATTAACTCATATAATATTTTTTGGCATTATTTTCCAACAACTTTAGGAAAAAGTAGCATTTAATAAATTTAACATTTTTTCTTGGTGTTTCAATTTTACATGCACTCCAACATACATCTCCTTTAATTTTTTTGTGAGTGTTTATTCAAGCTAGCTTTATATCAAATGATTTTAATAAAAAAACTTAAAACTTTTGCTTTTTAACTAAAATAATAAATAAAAACTACTTGTAGACTAGATTTGAAAGGTTTTGAAAAATTTTGAAAAAAAAACACACACACTCGTTTTGCAAACATGTTCGCAAAACAAGCATTTTCGTAAAACGATGTTTCGAAGTCCATTATGAAAACTTGTTTGCTAAATCAATAGAAATATAAAAATTAAACATTTTTGTGAACCAAAATGTTTTTAATTAATTTTTTTTTTAGAATCACAAAATGTTAACGATATAAAACTTGACTTTTTGAAACAATAATAAAAAATAAAAGTTTATATGGAAATAAATTCTTTTGCAACAGTAACTTGTGGAACAGTCACTTTCATAGAAAAAACTTGTGAAACATGTCATTATAGATTAATCTAATCATGTTTTATGAACCAAAAGTGTTTAATTAACCAAGTAACTAAGTGTAATTTGTCAACATTGCAATATATTCCTTAAGAAAATAGTAAATGAAAAATAAAATATTCTGACAATTCAACAAGCAACATAACTTTGGCATTTAAAATCTGTCCATAAAATGAAAAAGTAGTCATATTTTATTCTCTTTTTCATCAACTTTTAGCAAATAAATATTAATGTAGACACATGAAAATTTATTCAAAATAAACCATTAGTACTGAAATTAATTAAGGTCATTTTTACGCTTCTGAAAGTTACGATTTTTCTCATTGTCACATAATAAATAAAGTATCAATGTAAAATGTTATTTTAACCATGAATTTATTTGCATAATCAGAATTAATTTAGCATGAAAATGGTGCTAACATGTTCAAATTGTTGTTGGTCAGATTTTATACTTTATAAAAAATATATTTTTTAAAAAAATAATGAAAGAACTTTTGCAATTTTCATGTAACGTAAGTTAACAAAAACATGATAAAGTTTTTTTCCAAAATTTAGTTTAAAGACTAAAGTTTTTTAATAATATATGCAAAAGAATATTAAATGCTACTTTTTTTTTCATTTAAAGTTATAAATAATGATGCATAGTTAAAGCACATTTTTATTTCAAATCTGTGTAATGAAAGTTAAAACTACATGAATTTTCTAAAGTTCTGGCACTTTTTCATTACTAATGAATTACATCATAAAGTGATTCTTATTTCGTCGCGTTGGTTTGACAAGGTTTTAACTGAAACTTTTTAGAAGAATTTAGAAAAAAAATCTTTAATTTTTTTTTAAATGTTAATTAAAATTATTTTTTTTATTTGTAGTTGACAACATCTAAAAGCTTTTTAATGATGTCTACAATAAGGTTGTTCACCAAAATAAAAGACTTGAAAAAATTCCCCATCTTTATCTATAGTATTTTAAATGCTATTACAGAGTTTACATAGGCAAAAATTAACCTCCCATAAGGCGCTATATGAAGAAAAAAAATTTAAGTTCGGTAATAATGACTTGCAATAACAAACTTGCAAAATGATTCATTTTAAAGGAAGACTTTTTTTGCAACAGCCTCTTATGAAAGAAGCAATTTGAAACATGCACTCACAAAAAATACTCAAATTAAACTGTTATAAAAACAAAAATAAAAGGCTATTTTTTTTGTTTAAATAAAAATGTTGTTAAATTATTTTTCAATTGTCTATACATATATCTATAATATGTTTGTATGTATGCATGTATATATATATATATATATATATATATATATATATATATATATATATATATATATATATATATATATATATATATATATATATATAATATATATATATCAGGGCTCGAATTAAGCGTATCGCGATCGCGAATTGCGATTGCTTTTTATACTTTTGCGATTAGTTTTTTCTTAAAACAAATATTTTCGCCATTGGTTTACTTTTTTAGTTGTTTATTTACTTTTTTTTATAATTTAGCTTTTTTTTTTTGGCAATTCTTAAAAAATAATGTTTTTATAGTAAAGTACGTCACGCAAAGTTTGTCTTTTGAATAGAAGCATGATTTTGAATAGATGATTTGCTCTTTCGCGCTGAGATTTTTATTCAACGTGAAGCACTTTTTAATTTAAATTACTTTAAATCTCTGCATAGAAGCAAATTAAAGAAACAAAAGTTAAAAAGAATTTTTTCTTCATTCTATTTTTTTTATCAGCATTTTTATCTTTTTTTAAAAAAACCGTTGCTCCAAATTAACTTATTAATAATAAATTAAATTATTATTTCTTAAACAATTTTGTATAATTATTTTTACTACTTTAAGTATAATAAAAAATATATTAATTCGTTTTTATTAAATAAAATTTCTATTAATAAAATTGTACTAATAGAAACCAGCAACTTTTTTGCTTTCACGTTTTTCGCTTTTAACAACCTTGAAACTATTGAAGTTATATTTAGTTAACTTTACTGAATGGATAGAGTATATCACAGTAAATTAACTTAAAACCTAAATTTATTTAAAAAGAAATCTATTTGAACAAGAGAACTTTAGCCTTAAAATTTACTTATTCAAATAATTTTGTCATTGAAATTTGAAATTGAAAAAAATTTTTTAAAAGTTTGATGAAACAAGGGAGAATAAAGATGAAAGTTTATTTTTCGTAAATCGTAAATTTTGTTAACGTTTTGAATTATATATTTTTTCTTGAAAATAGTTTTAAAAGTAGAAATATTCTATTGCAAACATCAAAGCTGTGATTGCAAATTGCAAGTTAAAATAAAAATTATAAAAATTTAAAATTAAATTTAATAAATTATTTTACTTCTGTTCGAAAAATTTTTTTTCTAAAAAAATAATTTAAGCATATTCTTATACTTAATATAATTTGATTTATTAAACAAAATTTTTTGTTTCACTTTTTTTTGGAAAACAATTAGAATAAAAAAAAATTGAATGAAACATCAGTTTAAAAACCTTTTGAGTGAAAAACCTAATTATACTTAAATTTTTATTAGTACGCTCGATCAGGAAACAAAAGACGTAGTATCTAATGTTTTTTTGCTTTGATCTTACTCGTTTGGTCTATAGATTATAAACTCGTATAGGTCAATAGGCGCAAATATGAAGTTTTGTTTTAGTTTATTAACTAGCTCAATTTTATTTATTTGCTTCCTTTTATTTTAAACAGGTTTTATTTTATAAACTTTATGAATCAAAACGAAACAGCGTCACAAATTTGTTTTACATTATTCAAAGTTCTTTATATTCTTAAAACAACTTTGCAGTTTGTTTTAATGTTGTTCTATAGTTTTTAACAATTAAACACTTTTTTAAATTAACGTCTTTTAACGTCTTAACGTCAACTTTTAACATTTTAACGTCAGCATGAACGTATTAAATAGTTTTCTTTGACTAAATAAAGTGGTTTAGATATTGTAATGTTGATTTTTCTCTTACTTTTTTAATTTTACTTTTTTAAGTATCATGTTAAATAAAAATATACTTAAAGAAATATCTTAATAGTATTAAAAAAGTTATTGCTTATTACAACTGCAACTTAAACTTTAAGTTATAACTTAAGTTGTAAATAATAACAGTAACTTACGCTATTTTAAACTCTGCCAAACAAGAAAATATAAGATTATATTGAAATATGAGAGATAATATGTTAAAAATAGAACAATTACTTTCAAAAAAGCAGCGCAAGGTATCCGCGCGGGGGGGGGGGGGGGGGTAAACTTTTTTTATTTTTCGCGATTAGATTTTTTTGCGTTAATTCGAGCCCTGTATATATATATATATATATATATATATATATATATATATATATATATATATATATATATATATATATATATATATAAATGTTGTTCAATTATTTTTAAATTGTCTATACATACATTTATACATATATCTATACATATAGATAAACTGTTTTTTGTCTTTTACTTTGGTGAACAACCCTATTGTAGACATCATTACAAATGATTATTAGAAGTTGTCAACTAATTTTTTGTTACAGAAAAAAAATCCCTCATCATTGAAGAAGTGGTCTACAAAAAAATGGCTGAAAAAAAATAATAAAAAGATTAAGTTAAGCACATTTAATAAATGGTAAATAAAAAATCTTTTGAAATTTTTTTAAATATGGCTGCTACTTAAAACACAAATAATACGTTTTTAGACACATGTTTTATAATATTCAAACTAGGATTTTAAGTCCAATTCATGCATTTGATGGTTTAAACAATCTTCCTAAGGAGAGTAGCAAACATGAAATAAATCAATATAAAGTCAATGCATAGCCAGTTTAAACTCCTTATAAGTTAAATTTTAAAATATTAGTACACTTATTTTAAAAGTGCTTTTTTAATTCAAAGAATATTTTTAATCTCTGGGGAAATACAAGATTCAAAAACAAAAAAAGAAATAAAAAAACGAAAAAAAAGGATTTTTTTAAAGTTATTTGCTAATTATTATCTTTAGAGCTTATTAATTTTTATTTAGATGCATTTATTTTAATCATTTATTATTCATAAATAAAAGACTTAACAAATGTTTTCTTTTTAACTTCCCATAATGTATTTTCTTTAAAAAAACTATAAATACATTTTTGTTTCATACTGCATTTATAAATTTGTTAACATTCACAACAAACCATCATATCATCATACCAATCATAATATAAAAATACAGATCATTCTAAAATAAACATCAGACCATTTGTATTAAAGTGAATCTAGTAAGGTAAAGATTATTTTCAATTTTAATACTATAAATTGTTTTAAAAATTAAAGAAATATATATATAACAACATAGTGTAACTGATTTCAGCTTTAGTTTTAAATTTATTTTGTTTTGATAAATTTTATTTTAAATTTTAGTGTTTTAAATGACATTAATTTAAAATTTTTTAGTAGTTTTTTAGAAGTTTAATTATTATGGTCTAAATTTTATTTATTTTTATTATTATGTCTTAAATATTAATTTACTTATTATACTTTAAGATAACTAGCAATTATTTATTACTCATTTAATAGATCTTGCTAATTTATAATTATTTTTATTAACGTGTATAAATAATTGTTTTCATCATATTTATCCTATGCATATACAGCCTAAAATTATAATAAAAAAATTTGTTTGGTACACATTTGGTATTAATATTATTCTAAAAATATAAAAAAGATATACAGCTGTTTGCTGAACTCAAAAAAAAAATCTTTTGAAAATTACCAGTAAACTCAGGAAACCATGGACTAGTGAGTGTTAGATTCTAAAATACAATTAATAAAAAATAGCAAATTAACAAACAAATAAAATGGTGAATTAACACTTTACATTATTAACAAAATTTACACACACAGACACACACACACACACACACAAACACACACACACACACACACACACACACACACACACACACACACACACACACACACACACACACACACACATATATATATATATATATATATATATATATATATATATATATATATATATATATATATATACATATATTATGTTAGTGTATTTTACAAATAGAGTGCTAAATATTTTTAATGAACAGAGAAATGATAAATTAGTAAAAACACTTATCTAATTTTTTAAGTTTCAGCATCAGTAGGTTTATCAGGAAGCTTCTTGATGAATCTACTGATGGTGAAACAACTTGTTGAAGAAAATTAAATAAGCGTTTTTACTAATATATATATATATATATATATATATATATATATATATATATATATATATATATATATATATATATATATATATATGTTAAAATCTATAAAAGTCATACTCTTGTTATACGATGTTTATAATATATAAGTTGATTTCTATAAAAATGGCAGCATATAAAAATTTTTAAATAAATTTTGATATAACAATATATTAACGATATATTACTGATGCACAGTGGGCCAGAATGGTCAATTTTGAGACAAAATTAATAACTAATTCAATATTAGTGCTACATTCACTATATTTGGCATGAGTGCCAATATAAGGTCAGAGCTTCTTATGAAGGTGTTGTTTTTTATTTAGTTGCTATGGATACCTATTTTTTTGCATAACAACAATCTACTTTTTGTAGTTGCAGATTTGTTATGTGTGCTATATACACTAAATTTGGCATGAGCACCAGTGTAAGGACTGCGCTTCTTATAAAGGTGTTTTTTTTTATTTGGTTGCTATGGATACTTATTTTGGCGTAGCATAAACCTACTTGTAGTTGTTTTTGTGTGTCATACACACTAAATTTGGTAAGAGTACCAATACGAGGTATGCGTTTTATATTATGATATTTAGTTTGGTTGCTATGGATACCTTATTATGCATAGCAACATCTTATATATTTTTATAGTGACAGTCAATTTTATACAAATTCTTGACTTATTTACTGCAAATTATTAAAAAAATAAAATTTTTAATGCTCTGGTGTTCCAAATAAAGAGTAATGGTAGGTTGATTTAGGTTGTCTGAAAAACGAGTCACAAAGTTGATTATCTGAGTAAGAGATTGAGAAACACAGAAGTTATAGGTTAGTCAGTGGCAGGAAAAATGTAACACAGGTACGCTAGCCTAATAGATGAGGAAGGTGTTCAAGAAAATAAGTTTTTTGATAGTCCTGCATTCATTTTATTTGAAAATTATTATATTATAAATATATAAATAATATTATATTATATAAATAAATTATATATATATATATATATATATATAGTTACTTTGAAGTTAAATATTAAAAAAAAAGTATTTTGCACGTAACATAGATAACTCACTAATTTCTGCTTTGTTAAACTTTTTTGTAATCTTTACTTTTTTGTTATCTTTACTTTTTTATTATCTTTGAATAACACTTTGAATAATAATTATTTATATATATATAACTTTGAATAATAATTATTTATATATATATATATATATATATATATTTTGTGGGAAATTTTTAATTTATGTTAATTATAGAATACTAACAATTTTAATTTACAATGCATAAACTTAAATTTTAATAATAACTAAAGAAACCAAAAATTAGCCTGTAAAATTCGATAAAAAGAACAACTAAACACTGTTTTTTAACAGTTGCAGAACACCTTCTGGCAAAACCTTCTTCTTAGTACTAACTATTGTTCTTAGTGAAGAAATGACTGGATCACTAGAATAAAATAACCGCTTAAATAAATCTTCATTACATTTGATACGGTCACACTTGCGTGTAAAATGCTCACGATACTTTTTAAAATCTTTATTCCGAGCCTCTATAGCTTCGTAATGTCATGTCATCAACAACACTGGGAGCATGAATTAGCATTTTGTGAATGCTCTGCGGCATATAATACCATGGATAGCACTCCACGTAAAACCTAGCTGTATGTGTACAGTATTCCCTGATGGTATGTGTACAGTATTCCCTGAAATGCAGATGGGAAGTGGGAGAAAGAAAGCTGGAGACTGGCATGAAGTGACTGAAGTTGAAAACAGTACAAAGGTTTCTTGTGACTATTGTCATACTTTGATTAGCAACAAGATAGAACGAGTAAAACCCAATTTAAAACATTGCCAAAAAAAGTTTAGGTTTTTACACAAGCATACAGAAGGGGAAAATCTCAATTTGTCAAATTATTTAAATAAAAATTGTGATGATGTACCAAATAATGATTTAAATATTGGTGCACCTGCTCTAATAGCTGGACCATCATCTCAAGTTGGAAAAAGCTCTTTGGCATCTGTAAGTTCTATAAGTTCGTTAACACCTTGTAAGAAGCAGCGGTTGATGTCATCGTACACAATATCAACTAATATGGAACAGAAAAAAAATATTGATATAAAAATAGCAAAGTTTTTCTTCAGTGCAAATGTATCATTTAAAACTTCTGAAAATCAAGAATTTATAGACATGATCAATTCATTGAGACCAGGATATAAACCACCTAACCGTAGAATGCTTGGAAGAGAGCTTTTAGATAAAGTTTATGAGGAAATAAACAAAAAAATGATGGATCAACTTACCCAATAAAAGAAAACAATAACAAGACAGATGGAGTAGTATACTAATGATCCCATTATTGCTCACAGTGCATATGACGGACTTAATTCTAAAATTTTATACATTACTGATTGTGCATCAAATAAAAAAACAGCCAAGTATTGTACCGAACGTCTTTGTAATGTCATTAAAGATCTTAAAGAAACATACAATAAAGAAGTATTTGCTGTGGTAACAGATAATGAAAATAAGATGAAAAAAATGAGGGATTCAATCAAAGAAATGTATCCAAATTTTTTACATATGGGTGTTCTGCACATTATTTAAACCTTTTCGAAAAAGAAGTAACACACACAGATGTCATCAAACATAATATAAAGAAATATTTTCGTAATACACATCAACCGCATGTAAACATTTTTTTGTATTTGTGGGTTAAACTTAAAGTATAAAAAATATATAAAAGCTTAAAATTAACTATTCAATTTTTATTTTAAGGGATGGTTGCCTGAGAAAGGAGGGCATATGCCTCAGTTACCAAACAATACCCGATGGAACTCCTAAATTGACTGTATAGAAACATACATAAAAAACTACCAAATATTTAGAGAAGCTAACAGTCTTCAAACCCAACTCAAAATATTTGGTGTTGTTTTAGATCAAATATTTAATTTTTTTATAGTAAAGTTTTTTTACATAATAAGATTTTGTAGGTGTAAAGGAAAAGTAACAAAAATAAATATATTATGTTGATTAAATAAATTAAAAATTAAATTTTTTCTAGATGCAAAGTGACAGCTGTCACCTATCCAAATGTGTTGAGTTGTGGCTCTCATTTTTGAACAACCCTGAACTAAGGTCATTACCACACAGCTATCAAAAAGAGATGTAATAATGCTATGATACCTATCCATTATCTTGCATACATGACATGGATGACCAATCCTCACTTTTTGGGTAATGGGAAAAACTTGGAAAAACAATTTTTTTTTTAAAGCAAAATAAGTTTTGCTTTAAAAAAAAAATTGTTTTCACACCTATATGCTAACCTGAATTTTTTTTTTTATAGGCAAAAACCTGCCAATTGAAAATAAAGATGAGGCTGAAGAATGTCTTTACAATCATTATCCTGATTTTATACCTGGGTTGATTTTGCTTAAATTAAAGGATTGTGATGCATTTCCTAAACGGATGTTGAGCGATCAAATTATATCAACAATATTGTGCAGTGATTGGTGGTCTATCATTAACCAGAGAAATGAAAAATCAGTTCAGAAAAAATTTCCTGAAGGATTTTGCAAATTTATTTCTAAACATCAAACGTGTCCTGCTAGCTCAGGATCAATAGAAAGAATATTTTCTTCGTTTGGTTTTATTTGGTCAAAAGTTAGAAATAAATTAAGATGTGAAAAGGCTAAAAAGTTTGTGCAAATATATAGACAGTATCAAAAATAGTTTAGAGTTTATGTTTTTACAATATAAAGTGAATATTACATTTAAGTAAAGTTGTATTTGCAAGAAGTATACCAAAAATGTAATTAGTCTTGCCAATGTGTATTTATTCTAAAAAATCTTATTGAATGAATCTAATTCGTTTGGTTTCCGAAATAAAATTGTGTTAAATAATAATGTTGTGTTTAAATTGAAAATTTCCCTTTATAGCTAGCTCTATAATATGTTTATGTTTTCAGAAATGTTGGTTAATAATAGTATATATTAATAATGTAATTGTTCATAAGTTTTTAGATATATTTCAAAGAAACCTAGATTGCTTGGGTTTTATTAGGTTTTTTTAGGCGGGTTTTATTGGGTTTTATTGGGCGGGTTTTTTAATGCTAACCCTGAAATATTTACACATGCAAACCAAGAATGTTTACTAAAGAAAAAATCGGAATTGATTTCTAAATGCAGGCATAAAAATAAGTTTCTCCTAAAAAACTATAAAAAATAAGTGAGCTTAAATAATAGTTACATTAAATCCCCCCTTTTGATAAATATTTTTTAAAAAAAGCAGAAGTAATCAATTCTAAAGAATTATTTTTATAAAAGTATCAGCATATTCCACAAATGTGTAAAAATTTATAGTAGTTAAGACATTTGTGACTTTCTGTAATTTAATTTTGGTATAAATTGAAGTTTTATTAATTTGATAATTTCTGATGAGTTTTTATAGATAAAACACAGTGTTAAACAAAATTTTTTTTTGCTTAGTGATTCTCTACTAATTTATAATTGCTCTATTCTTTTAAGAACATTGAGTACTCTCTTTTGCAGAACACATTTTAAAATTGTTTAATATATATATATATATATATATATATATATATATATATATATATATATATATATATATATATATATATATATATATATATATATATATATATATATATATATATATATATATATATATATATATATATTGAATATATGGCTATTATTATATAACTTTCTAAAACTAATTTGTTAGAACTGATATAAATATTTATTCTAATAGTAAATACATTTTTCTTTATAACAAAATCAAGTTGTTAGTCTTATTGTATGGTTGTTGCTTCTCTCATGTCCAAAGAATGAGCTTATCAAGGACTAAGTTGTAACTTAATTCTTAACTATGCTTATTGTATGGCTGTTGTTTTTCTAAATAACTTCTTAACTATCCTGTTTTGTCTAGGATTATACGCTCAACAATTTTAAAGTGTTTTGATTGTATTTATTCACACATTTATAAAATGTGAAACCTAAGCCTTGGTTTAACATTGCAGTTTCCTTTAGTTATTAGATAGTAGCTTATTGGTTATCTGAAACTATTTTTACAAGATATATACTTATATCATTTTACTTACAATTATGTTGCATTGATTTTATTTATATAAATGTTTTAAACATTACTAGTATAACTGCATTTAAATAAAACTAATTATAAATTTTATTTAACTACACCACTCAATCATTAATAATTTGTAATTAGTGTAATAGCAGTTAGATTTTAACTAATTAAAAAGCCAAAAAGTAAAAAAAAAAAGATATTCTTTTTTTAATATAATGCCAATTTTTCAAAAAAAGCTATTGGATTTAATAGCATATGTAATAATGATTTTTATTACTTTTGCTACTAATTAAATAAGTATAATTCCATAAATGTTGGAAAAACAGCATAATAACATCTTATTGATACAAAATAACACCATTTCTACTGTTATTTCTTTTATAAATATAATAACATATATTTTTATCATTTTGTTCACTCTGTATCAGTACTTTTATGGTGTGAATGCTCTAAATATATTTTAGCTGATAGTATTTAAATATCAATAAATACCATAATAACAATAACTAAAAATTACATCATCAAGAATAATTCTTTGAAACAAGGTGTATGTTTGACCAGCTACCAGTTTACCATTTACATATGTTTGATTATCTTGAAACTCTTTGGTTAAACTATTGGTTGAAAATATTTCATTGTTGCCTAAAAATAATTATTATGTTATTTATCTCAAAAATTCTCAAAAATATTATATACAAAAATAATATTTCTAAAATTAAAACAATTGAATATTATTTAAAGTGATTACAAATAAGAACAACATTCTTTCATAATAAAGTTGCTGTTATTCCTCAAAATTATATATATATATATATATATATATATATATATATATATATATATATATATATATATATATATATATATATATATATAAACAATAAAATTTATTTTGATTTTTATTGCTACTTCTGATGTTCTGATTGTGTAACTTCCTTATTCTTTCCTCAAAAAAAAAAAAAAAACAAGATTAAATTTTATTGCTACATTACTTCTGATATAGCAGTTGTGAGGTGGGTAGCGCTTGTAAGGAAAAGTAGTAGAAACTAAATTATATATATAATATATATATATATAATAATATACCACAGTGAGTAGGTTTTTGTATATGATTTTTTAAACAGACTGTTGAGTTTTAATTTTAAAAAATTGACATTTTTGTTTTACTTTACTTTTGCTTTGAGAAATATTTTTAAAGATTATATAAAATTTATTATTCAGCTAAACTAACAATCTGATTAACACAGTAATGATATAGTTGGAATACAAAGATACAAGGTGACCAATAGTCTTCAAAGATAATACGAATGAGAAAATCAAAAAATATTTTTTTAATGTAGTTATGTTCAATGTTTTCCCATTACACGTTATACAAGAAACTAAATAACTAAATGGTTAAAGGAGATATTCATTTACTTCTTTTAGTTGCAAATGTTTTATTTTTTATTTTTTTAAATTTATTGAATTTGTTCCATCTACAACCAGAATATTCATTGTATCCAATAAATTTTTTAATTTAATAATGTATTTAAAAAAGTGTTTAATCTTTTTAACATATATTGAGTAGTTTTTGGATGACGAATAGAATATATATATATATATATATATATATATATATATATATATATATATATATATATATATATATATATATATATATATATATATATATATATATATATATATTTATATATATATATATATAGGCATGCTGTGGCAAGTCTTATATAATCACGCACAGAGTATTTAGTTTTGACAACTTGGTTAACACTTTATTTATTAAAATATTAGTTTTTCACTAATATTTTAATAAAGTGTTTTGGAAAGTTTAATTAACAAGAAGCTTACTTTTTTGCCTTAGCACTTGGGGATCAATTTAAGACTAATTTTTTTAGTTTAGTTTTGTATTTTTTTTTTTAATTTTTATTTCTCTTTTCAGTTTGTGGTTTGTTTATTTTTAATTTTAGCTTAAGTTTACATTTGTTTATTCAATGAAGTAAATAGTTTTTTGCCATTCACCTATCGTGATGGCAGCTAGTACTTTGAGAGAAATATTATCTAAAGCATAAGGACTCAACATTTCTCTGTTATATTTATTATTTATATTTCTGTCACTTTTCTCTATTATAAGAATCTGTTATATTTCTTGTATTCCATGGTAGTATAGTCTTTTCTTTAACTAAAATGTGTCTTCAAAGTCTAGAGGTTTTGAGAACAATCAAAACTGTTTTTTGAGAACAATCAAAACTGAGAATTGAACTAATTTAACTAGTAAATAAATTTAACTAGTAACAATCTAGAATTGTTACTAGTTAAAGATAGAATTAGAACTAGTGTTCTAGTTAAAGATATATATAAAAATAATGAGCCAAGCATTCTACAAACAGTATTTCTTAAACAATTAGGCACAAAGTTTTTAATAATAATATAGTTTAGTTATTAAAGATAAAGAGATATTATTAAAGATTTTATGCATTGGTTTGTGATAGACTTCTTTACCAAACAATAATTTGAAATAGATATCTTGAAGGTTACTAAAAAATTGAAGATAACAATGAGACCCTTTTCAATGGTAAAAAAATGAGGGAATAAGGAAGGTAGGTTTACTTGTTTAAGATTTCAGACAAATAGACTACTTAATAAATGAACATGATCACATAGTTTAAGTATTTTGGATGGAAAGTAAAGGATGTCAAAATTTTAATGATATTATTAAGAGTAAATTATTTTTAAAGCCTTGTTTTGCAGGTAAGAAATCTTAAATAGAATAGGATCAAGGTCAACAAGTATATCTATGATATTATTCAAAAATTGAAAAGTATATATTGAGTAGGATTTCATGGTTGACATAATGATAAATTGGCTGCAAAGTATTTAAAATGAAAGAAAAAGATTTGAATCAATTTTAATTTTAAGATATTAAAAAAAAAATTAATGGCAAATTTTTTGACCGGTCTGAGGTGTTTACAGATTTTAGATTTGATTTGAAAATGATTGTTTTGTTGGTGTCAAGAATAATAAAGTATAAAAGTATTTATTAATTATGTTAATTACTTATTAAATATGATTTATCCAATATAATTAAAAAAAAATTTGGATAAATCATAACTATTAAGTTTGTTGATTGTTTTTAATGATTTGTTCATAATGAGTAAGTCGGTGTCATCAGACAATTATTTACATATTAAATATGATTTACCTTATAAAAAAATATATAAAATTTCTTTGAACATTTAAATTTAGGTTAGATTGCAAGCATAGAAGAGCACCACCTTTTTTTAGTTTTAGTTGAGCATTTTTTAATATTATAGCCATTTATATTTATGTCAGTTATATTGAAATCATTAATGTATAATTTAGATTCTGAAACTCTAAACACTATATTAGGAGAGTGATAAGTAACCTTATGAGACTGCAAAGATCATCATCATCTACTGTAGAGAACTTCAGAACTTGAACTTATAGTTTTATATAACAAAAAGATTTGTAATTGCGTCAGAGATTTTTATATTTACATCCTTAAATAGGTTTTTGAAGTGTGTTGGACTTTCTAAAACATTCAAAGATTGCTAAATGGCATATTGTTAATTATGCAGTCACTAAAATACCAGTCAGATGAGTCTTTAACAAAATGATTATATGAAAATTTTTAACTTAGATTGGATTTAGCATGTACTTAAAATGGATAACAATCATATAAAATGCCTCTATGATTATCAGCTGCTAATTTATTACAGAACTTTGAATTATCATTAAAAATACATGTAAAAAAATGTATGTAGTATATGTAGTATATATAAAAGTATGATATAAATCAATGATAAATTTATAATTATAAGAATATATTATAAAAATAAAAACATATAATAAATAATAAGCTATATAGAAATTATAAAAAATTGATAACATAAATTTTAAATAAATAATCTGATATTAAATGATGTAATAGCAGATTATATATGTATCATAAATAAATAATAACAAAAGGTAATACAACTAAATAAATATACAACGAAAAAATAATTAAATATAACTAAAATTGAATATAAATAACAGTAATTAAATAATGCAAAACCAGAAAACTAATAACAACAAAATTAGTTAGACTAAAATGTAACAACCAATTATTACAATTTAAATTGGTTAAAATACAGTATTAAAACTTAATTTTTGTTAAGAATTTTCTTCCTTGTTAGTATAATATAAAAAAAAGCTGTAGTAGTTTAAAAACTACAAGTGAAATTAATGGTAATAAATTTCACTTTGACAGCATATACATTGTATAGTTTTTCTAGGTAAATAAATTTACATACAAGATTACAAATCATATAGCTCTAGATATCTATAAATGCGAATTTTAAATAAGTTCAAGATTTCACTTTTGATGATAAAACTAGGTAGTAATTGGTGACAAAGATTACAGTTATTATCAACTTCTCTTTTGATTTTGAAATTATGGTCCCTTGTGTTAGGGTGATTAGGCAAAAATATTACTATTTAGTTCTATATTATTTATATTTTTTAACCACACTGAAAAATATATAAAATACATTTTCATTGTGCTTAAGCCAAGTATTTTAATTCTTGTTTCATAACTTTGCTTTTAAACCTGAGATATCCATTTAGTGGCATAATGTTGAACTTTTTCAAGTGCATTAATATCACTTTTAAGGTATGGGCACAATGCTTGTATTGTAAATTCAAGATGGGTCTTATAAATCTTACATACAGTATATTAAACATTTTTTTATTGATATAATGAACTTTTTTTTTAACATTTCAAGCATTAAACAAACTTTTGATGTACAATTATGTGTGTTTTCCCTTTGAGATTTGATGACATAACAATTCCATGATCTTTTTCAGTATCAGAGATTGCTATTATTTTGTCTCGTAGTTTATAAATATAGCAAAGGTTATTTTTTCCAAAGTGCAAAAATGGCAAATAAAGGGCATTTTTTCACTATTAAAATGTAATTGCCAGATCTCATTTGGGGGCTTGGTTAACTTTATTGTGTAGCAATTGACCATTCTCAGAGATAATTTTCTAACTACTTTCCTGATTAACTTAGTGCCATCAGCAAAGGGCTTAGAGTGTTCTAAAATCTCTGGTAAATTGTTAATATATGTAATTAATGGAGAAAAAACAGATTTTTGGAATCATCAATGGTGGTAACATTGCTTGTAGTTGTTCTATCTTTATTTGCTAAGGATTAGCCTGTTTACTTTTTAAGTATTGTTTATGTCTGCCAATTTCCATTTAACTGGTATTCTTCCAGTTTTAAGCAATTTTTCAAAAATGAAAGCAAGCAATAAAGCAAAGGCAGATGCACACTGTTTTAGCACTATTGATTTTACCATGTCTGATCTTAGAATATTCAACTAACTGAAAAAGTTTTTCTTTAATTAATTTCACAGTTATTATATTATCTATTATTGCCTCACAAGGGTAAGACAAAAAATAATTTTTTAGAATCAGGAAACTATTGGTTTTGCCTGGTATTGACTGATTTAAAATGATAATTCGTAATGTTATTTATTTAGTTCTTTAATTAGTTAATTAATAGATGTTAAAGCTTGAATGGTATTTTTAAAATTATGTTTGGTGTTAACATATTTGGATAGTAGTTTCAGATTGTGGGTTGATTTTCTTACAAGATTTTTTTCAAATGAGCATTTTGCTTGTAGTACTTTACTCTTTAAGTCTTGCATACTGCTTTGTATTTTATTTTGCATTTAGGCTGTCTATTGTTCTTTGAAAATAAATTTAATCATAGTGACCTTTTGATACGCATTAAACCTTAAATTTCTTGTGTGAACCAGGGAGATCTATTGACACTATGAGTTCTAGTTTGTTGTGGTATAAAAAACTCTATGATATTTGAGTAAATTGATAAAAATTTATTATACATTTAAAATGCATTATCCATTCCTTCAATCACTCTACTTATTTCAGAAAAGTTTCACTCTGGAAAAAAATTTATTCGATGTTTTACTTTTGTTTTTAGTTGATTCATTGTTAATGGTTAATTTACATATTAATACAGAATGTCCTTGTTTGGTATTGCCAAGAGGACGTAAATGCATTAATTTAAATACATTATCAGGTTTATCAGTAAATATTAAGTCTAAAGTACTTATAAATGTAATACTATCATTAAAGAATGTTGCATCACTAACATGTTGATACAATGTAGTTTTCTTTACAGTACGAGTAAATTCTTTATCAGATTCATTATTACTTGTTCTTATATAAAAAATATAATTGAAACTTTAGAAAAATTATAATTGAAACTTTAGAAAAAAATAATTTAAACTTTAGAATACAGTTTCCCAAATGGTAATTGATTTCCCAAATGGTAATTAAAAAAGAAAATCATCAACTACTCTACATTCATAACTACTCTACTTTCATCAACTATTCTACATTCAGTTCTACTTTCCCATTGAATCAAACCATCTGCCAAGTACTCGAATGAAAATATTTTTAACTTATTGAAACTATAAAACAAAAAACCATTTAAACAAAAAACCATTTAAACGAAACTGCTTTAAAAAATTTTATACATGCATATGTAAAATACTACATACCAATGTATGTTATAACTTTTATGTTAAAAAAAATTCTCACTGATAATTTTGTTACTTTACCTTTTTAACAACTTTTAAATGTTACCTAAATGTTAAAAACATTAATTGCAGAAGTAAATTGAATCATTCACTGATCTATGGCATCAGGCTTTTTTAAGAAGCGTTACCCAACCTGCATTTTACATACGAAATGGCAATTTGCGTACGTATTCAGCAGTTTTACATTAAGCAAAAAATTTCAGAATATTTAAACCTTTAATATCGTGTAAGGGACATTTATTCAGAAAATAGTTGTAAAATTTGTAAAAAAAAAGGATTCAACTGCAACTGTGAATAATTTAAATATTTTTTTTTAAAGACTTTGAGTTGAATATGATTTTACAAATTTATATTTAGCTTTAAAGAAATGTAAAATAAATAGTAAAAAGTAAAATGTAAAACATAGTTTAAAGGAATCTCAAAACAATATTTATTTTAGTTGGGCAATATTTATTAAAGTAGAATTTTTTTTTGCTAAGTAATTATGTAAAACATAAATCTTTTTATTGTAGAATAAATTATATGAAAGCAATTTAAAAATCTTATTTTTCTTTTTTTTGTTTAAAATTTTTTTTTTAATTTTAACTTTTTTGTTCTTTTATTAATTCTATATCATGTAATGTGTTGATGTAATTTATTTATGATTGTAAATTTTGTTTATGAATATTTTTTTGGTACTAAAATCTCTCTTAATTTATATTTAATAATTTTTATAGAATGATTATGTTAAGTATTAGATTGTTTCAAGAAATAAGTTCTAAGAAAATATAATCTTTTTTAAATACTGAATTTATATTTCATTAATAATTTTTGTTCTACTAGTTTAAATAAACTTTAACGCAGTTTAAAATTTAATTACAACATGGTACTTTAAAATATATTAATGATGCAATTTAACTTTTAACGATGTAAATTTCAAAGCTGAGTTAAAGTTACATTTATTAGCGTTACGTGTTTAAAATCATATAACAAGGCCTGATAGTATGGTATATCATATGATATATTAGATCATTATTGATTCTATAAATAATGAATCATGTAAATTATTAAAATTTGAATTTAGCATACATCTAATAATCATATGTTTGGTTTATTTTCTCTCTTAAGTTCCTTACATTTGATCTTTTCTGGCATGAAACCCAGATTTATCAGCCTAAAAAGTTTTCATTTTTTAATTTTTTTTATATAAAATAAGACTTACCTAAAACAAAACTACTGTACTTTTCATACATAGAAGCATTAAATGAAGCAGCAAGGTAAGGTTCATTATAGCCTGCAGTTTCATAAACTTTAAAGTCTTTATAAGTGGATGTAGCATTTTTTATGATTGTACTCATGTTAATTTTCATTGCAACAACTTCATAAGTCCTTCAAATTGAATGTAAAAAAATTAACCAATATGAAAAATTATTTAAATGAAAATTAAAAAAAGATGTTTACTTTGTATTTGAAGGTCCTTTTACTAAAGCAACGATATGACCATGACGTTTATCCCATTTTAAAATATTTATAGGTATTGTTTTGCGATCTAAAGAATGTCAGTAAAATAAAGAAAAAATTTATACCAAATATCTTTGTTTATTATTAGCTGAAAAAAATGTGGTCTTTACCTATAGTCAACTTTACGGCATTACTATAATATGTTAAGTTGCTAAAAAAGTTATTCTAAAAATAATCATATAAAATATAAAAATTTAAAAATAAAACATTTTCAAACAAAACAAGTCAAAAATCACAAACAAAAAAACTTAAAAGCTTAAACTTAAAATTCTACATAACATATATAAATTCTACATAACATAAAAAATTCTACATAACATAAAAAATTCTACATAACATAAAATTGAAAACATAAAACAATGAGTTTGAAGATTTAATAAAAAAACATAATGCAACAAAAACCTTCATGTTAATGACAGCACGAATATAAAGAAACAATTTTCTAAGTGTAGGCAGCCTAGCATTTAAATTCTCCACTGTTTCTAAACCTTCATAAAATTTTAAAGAGCTGGAAGCGAAGTTATCTGAAGGAAATGTTGCAGCCAAAAAATAAGAAAGGTTTAGTGATTCAGCAGTGAATTGATCTTTTAAAGTCAATGTTTCCATATTCAGTGAAGATATGTTCTCATATGCAATAATTATCTCATAGAAGCTATAAATATTAAAAAATTCATCATCATTTATAGCAACAAATTTTTTACAATTTCAAGATTTTTTATATATAGAAACTATGGTTTCTTTATATAAAAAGTATAACAAAAATATATCAAACATATAACAAATATGGAAAAATTCTATATATATCTAACATATAGCATAAAATGAAAACCTGACAGGTCCATTGATATCAGATACACTATAAAACTGACATTCAAATACTTCAGTGTAGTTATCAAAGTATTTTAACACTTCAAAAGTTGGTGTTGGAGGTGCTATAATAAAAATAAACTTTAGTTAAAGCATTGTTACAATCCACAAAATAATTTAACATTACAAATTAATAAAACATTCAAAAATGCATGAAGGTAAACAAATAAAAAAAACCTACAAATTGGATCGGAATAATGCTGTTTAGTTTTTCCTTTAACAGAATAGTCTTCATCATATACAGCATCTACAGATATGTTAAAGATGGCTGCATGAAAGTCAACTTCAATGGTAATGTTTGTAATAATTGTTTCCATTGTATTGAAAAAAAAGAATGAGCTGTTGTATGGCTTTAGTGATTGGACATTTATCTGATTTGATAAAAATATAAATATAACTAAAAAAATAAAACTTTTTTGTGTTTTATTGAAAACATACTATAATTATTATGTAAATATTTTGATTTTTTGTAAATTAAGTAATAAAATAAAAAAATTACTTTATATTTTAGAATTGGAACTGGAGAATCTGGTTTTTTCCAACTTAATACTAACTTTTTGATTTTATCACTTATAACTAATGGTGCAGGAGCATCTAAAGCTATATTAAAAAATTTGATTTAACAATTATAAATTTTCTTTATTAACTAATAAACTTCAATGAACTGTATTAAAATAACTTATAATTTTTTTTAAATTAATGCTGTTATACTGATCTATATTAATGCATGTTGTACATTACATTAATATCCATATTATAAGCTTTAATTGCATTATTTGTAATTATTTAACTACATTATTTGTAATTATTTAATTGCATTATTTACAATTAAAGTGTAGTTAATCATATGCAGTATGTGTCATGGTAGAGCACTCACCACATAAGCAAGAAGTTCTGAGTTTGATCCCCCCACACCTCTGGTAGTACCACGCTCAACTTGTTTCTTCACACAGCGGCCTTGATTGTCAAGGTTTGTGTTTCAGAGTTATAGAGTTGAGAGAGGGTTTAAACCACAACTAAAGTTGCCTCCTTGATTGTAGTGGTTTTCATGGGCTTGGGATGGTGAAATAAAAGTGAAAAAAAAAATTAAATTTTAAATTTTACATCTAAATATAAACACATTTCTGTTTTTTGAAGAAGATTAGAAAATTTTCATTTTCAGATAAAATACTTTCCTAAAAATGTAACATAATGAAACTTTTCTAAAAATCTGGTGTAGTGAACAGCTTGGTATCGTAAAATTTGGTATAATGATCATTTTTTCAAATTTTAATAGAAGGAAATAGGGAGTTCATCAAAAGCTATTCAACAAGCTCTAAATAACTATTGTAGTTTTTTATATTCGATTTCTCAAAAGTCCCATTAACTCCTTTCCAAATCTATTTAATTAATAACTAAGTCCATGTACAAATACTCAAATTATTAGGACTAATAAAACTTTTACATTCAATTAGTCAAATTTAGCAAATAGAACTAAACCTGGGCATGATTTGGGTCTTTTTTAAGGAATATTTTAATGTTGGAGCACAAAGTAAATAACTTTTTTGTTAACATGAATGTTGGAGTAAAATATTAAAATAATCCATGTTAAATTTCAATAAGTAATTTACTTAAAACATTCCAAATATAGTCTGGTAGACCTCCTTAAAATGATGCCTGAAATTGCAATAAAAGTATTTAACTTTGGTAGAAACTTTTAAGAAACCTGTAAAAAATTTTAAAGAAACCTTTAAAAAAAGTTGTGATTTAAAAGAATTTAAAAAGATTTACTTCAAACCATCTTTATAAAAATTTTCAATTATTTTGATTTTCTTTTGATTTTGATTTGAATTTCTACACAAGCTTTAAATTGATATAGGATTGACTACAATGTCAAACTTATGCATGTGGAAAAGTACTTGCAGATAGTGGAAAATTTTCAATTAAATTTACTGCAGAAGGGCGAAATAAGATTTCTGGAATCTAGCAACATTTAATTGGAAAGATAAGCAGCTGATTTATACTATGTCCTTCATCCAACTCACTTCTCTGCAAATTGTTAACTGCCATTGAAATCATGATCTTTTTCAGAAACCTGACATATTATGCCACTATAATGCATTTATGAATGGAGTCAATAAATGTGGGTATTTAAAATAAATGTTCTGAATAAAAAAAAAACACAAAAGAAAGTAAGATTTTTGTGAAAAATATTGAAAATTGTGAAAAAAGTTTATTTGAAAAAATTGTTTTGAAACTTTTTACATCAAAAGTAATTCTAATTTTCATCTTAAAAGCAATAATGTTTTGATTTTTTACTTTGGTTTCATATTTAGTGTGAGTTTAGTGAAATTCTAAAAGATTTGGTCCTGTTTAAATTATTGCTAAATTCTGATATGAGAATACACTTTTGATAGCTTTAACTCTTGATTAGAATTATTTAGAGTTTCACGAAATTTCAAAGCCAGATTTTATCTTTACTATAATCATTTTATCATTACTATTATTATATATTATATGATGGGATTTTCAATAATGTTTATATAGTTTTATTATCTTATTTAACAATTTAAACAGGACCAAATCTTTTATTTATATAAAAGATTTGGTCCTGTTTAAATTGTTGCTAATTTCTGATATGAAAATACACTTTTGATAGTTTTAACTCTTCATTAGCATTATTTAGAACTTCACAAAGTTTTTGAGTCAGATTTTATCATTACAATTATTATTTATTAAACTGTGTCAATATTAATGATGGGATTTACAATAATCTTTAGATAATTTCATTATCTTCTTTTCTACTTATATTTGAATATAAAGTTAATCTTGTTTTTGAAAGAGTTAATTGAATTTGATTTATTGCATATTGTGCCAAGGTGTTGAAAGATATTCTGTTTGTGAAGAAGTTTGATTGTTTTATTTTATGAACCTTTGTTTAATATCTCTCTTTCTCTAACTCTCATGTTGTACAGTGGGTCCAGAAGCCAGCAAAACGTAAAATATAAAGTTTAAGAAATCTAAAGTTTTTTTTTTAAATATCAGTTAAACTTGTCTAATATGCAAAAATATATTCTTTATAATAATACATTATGATTAAATAGTAATAACTGACTGCAATATATAAGAGTTCCGTTAGCAAGGTAATGTAATATTCAAGGCAAGGTAATATTTTTACATTCATTCTATTTTACAAGGTGAGAAAAATTTATGCTACATATTTTAGATATATATATTTTATAGGGGTATAATTGATCATCAAAATGTCCTTATAAAATAGAACTGTTTTTTTTTTAATACTTAATTGCATAGATTATTTTTAAATTATATAAATTATCTATTTCGATGTTTAAGCATAAATAGTAGTATATAAAGCAATATAAAAGATATGTAACCTAATTTTTCAAAAGTACTTGATGTATACTTGTATTATCAAGCAAAATATTTTGCCAGTTTTTGCTAGTCTTGCAATGATTTTATTATACAATAATTATCAATTTCATAGCCCAGCCAGATTATATTATATCTATCTATCTATCTATCTATCTATCTATATATATATATATATATATATATATATATATATATATATATATATATATATATATATATATATATATCTATATATATATATATATATATATATATATATATATATATATATATATATATATATATATAGTCAGGTCAGGTTTATCCTGCTACTGGTAACATGTAACCCAGTATAATCTGCTTCATGTCCTGCTGCCTTGTAGGATATGCCTTTTTAGACAAAGGCTAGGAGATGCAAACTCCGACATAAAACACCCCCTGCCTTGGGGCTCTTGGGTGAGTAAAGGCTAGAGATGGTGTCTCGATAAAAATACTTATCTTGGGCAGATGTTACATGCATCCGGCTGCTGTCTTGTAGAAGGCCTCCTAGGCAAAGACTAAAGGGGTAAACATATTTTATCTGTTGACCAGCCTCGCACCCCTTCGTCATCTATTAGGCTAGCGCAGATGTATTTTTAATACATTGTTTCCAGTTTAGGATGTTGAACGCTGGATCTTCTTGACTCGTTTCATGGGTTTTGCTTGTGTCTCTGTTTTTATGACTAGGCAACTCATTCCATTATCTCCAAATGAGGGTACAACTCTAAAACTCAGTTTTATGGTTCTGAGGCCGGCTGGTAGTCAGGTTTCCCGAACTCTTTGGTAGCTCTCAGAGAGGCTGATTCCATCAACAGCTGAAAAATATCAGAGTACTAACAGTGCCATGTTGCGCATGGATGGTGTCCCTGTTTGTACTTTTGGTGTGCATTGCCAAGGCCACATTGGAGCCCTTTGTTACGGCTTAGGGTTTATTAGTGGAAATGAGGCAATTGCTTGAGCTATAGAACAGTGTACTGAGTACTATCAATGTTTCGAGTCAAGTTCTTTAACAAATTTAAAAATGAATAAAGTAACAAAAACTATAAAACACAAAAAACCACAGTCATCACCAAGTTCGCTAAACTAATCATTCACCAATATTCGTGGTCTTCGAAGTAACTTTTCTTCTGTTGAGTCTTATCTCTTGCAAAGTTCACCAGACCTACTTGCTCTTTGTGAGACTAATTTGAGTTCAGCTGTCTCATCTTGTGATCTTAGTGTTGATGGTTATCTTCCTTTAATTCGTAAAGACTCCAATAGTCACTTGCTTGGGCATTCGTAAGAATTCACCCATTTGTCGGGAAACTAGGTTTGAATCCACAGACTACTCTTTTATGTGCTTTCGTTTAGCACCACTTCACTCTATCACGTTTCTCTTTGTTCTATATCGCTCTCCCTCATCCCAAGACTGCACTCTTCTTGATGTTATTTCTGATTATATTGACCAAGCTCTCATTCTTTATCCATCAGCCAATATTGTTGTTGTCGGTGACTTTAATGTTCATCACACTGAATGGCTTGGCTCTAGTGTCAGTGACTCTGCAGGCATTAAGGCCCACAACTTTTGCCTTTCTCAATCCCTAACTCAAATAATCAACTTTCCAACTCGCTTTCCAGACAACCCGAATCATTTACCTTCTCTACTCGACTTATGTCTTGTTTCTGACCCTAGTCAGTGTTCAGTTTCTTCACACTCAACCTTAGGTGCGTCTGATCATGGTTTGGTCTCTCTAAAACTATTATCTCATTCTTCTTTAACATTTGAATCCCCCTATCATCGTACATCTTACAACTACCTTAAAGCTGACTGGGACTCTTTTCGTGACTTTCTTCGTGATGGCCCCTGGGTAGAAATCTTTCATCTCCCTGTTGACAAATGTGCTTCTTACATAACTTCGTGGATTCAGGCTGGCATGGAATCCTTTATTCCCTCTCAACGATTCCAGGTCAAGCCTCACTCTTCTCCATGGTTTTCCTCACATTGTGCTGCTGCAATTGCCAATCGAAATCATTACTTTCATATCTATCCGCAAAACAATTCTCCAGAAAACAGACGTCTCTTTATAACTGCTAGGAACCATTGTAAAAAGGCTTTGTCTAACGCCAAAACCCGCTATTCTCAGATCATGAAATCTCGTATCTCATCACAAAAATTAGGCTCTCGTGACTTCTGGAGAATCTTTAAAAGTATCAATTATAAGGGCAAGTCT